CCACGCGGCCTGATTGGTGACATGATTGTATGAGTGGGTCAATCTTTGTAGCTGTTTCGGTGATAGAATAGTGCAGGAGCACAGAGATTTGCAGGTGGTACTGAGAGGAATACTGCAACAGGCTGAAGATATAAGAGATTCAGTAGAAAACTTTGAAGAAAATCTCTGCAATCACTTTGATTTCTGTTTCAATTTTTGCTATTCCCACCCAAGTAATGATTTCTTTCTCTGAGTTGCCAGTCAATGGTTACAGGGTTGTCTTGGTGTGATAATTTGGACAAACAATTGCAAGTGCATCAACCATAATCACAGCTTAAGGTACCAAACGGTGATGTGCAAAATCATAAATATGCAAGACATGGTTGATGCAACAGGGAAAACGGACACAAGTGATGCTTTTTGCTTACTTTTCAGCATTGCAGCTCACCAAGCAGGCAACAACATAGCAGGATGTCAACCGTTTTCATGTTGTTGTCTCCTAAGCTGCAGAGTCAATGAAAACAGATGCTCTGACGCTTACCTTAAGCATCTGTACTAATAAACAGTAGTGTACTACATTAGTTAGTATGACAATTGTTGAAATTTAAAGAGTTTTATTGTAAATAAAAAAAAAAACACTGATGTCCTTTTTCTATCCACCTGTCTTTCCTCAGGTTTAGTCTTCTTTCATTTTTAATATGGTCAAATTTTTCTACACTGCTCTTCCTCTCAGCTGTAATCACTTCCCTGCTCCTCAGAATCTCCCCTCCCTAACTTGTCTCTTTCCCCAAACCCCGGTCACATGGCTGAGAGCATGCAGGACGAATTTCATATCTAACTGTCAAGCTCTTCCTTTCCCTTCCCTTCATCATTTTTCACCGGAGACTATTTATCAGTTGCTACCTCACTGCCCCCGTGCTGTGCTCACGTATCACATATGAAGCTGGTGCAAAACTGTGAATATAAGACGGCACTGTACAGAGAAAGGTTTTGTGTAGTGGATGATTGAGAGACGTTCTGCTCTATCCATTTCCAGCTCTGTTTCCTCTCATGTATAATGGATGATGCGTGCCTCTTGCACCATTGTTTGCTGATTCTAATCAGAGTGCCCAGCCTGTTGAATTATAAAACAGGTGGGCCAAATGAAAATGTATCAGAGGTTCTGAGGGACACCTGCTGATTAAAGTATAGACTACATTTATCACAAGTGCCCTTAATTGTGATTATTGTTACTGCAGGCACACACAAATTAAAACATTTCTTTTTCTTAATGCCCTTAAGTACCATTAGACTCACATGTCCGTATGTAAGCACATGCACACGCAGCTTTATGCCCATTACAACTGAAGAAGTCGGGGGTTTCTGAGAAGAAGTTGCTGTAGCAGAACTGCAGCGGCATGGTGAGCTATTTTTAGAAATGTGGTGAAAGGAGCTGGTTGGTGACACAGCACGTGCAGAGCCTTAGTCCTCAACAACACCCCCAAACTCTCAAAGGTTTGGTTTACATTAGCTGCAGTCTTAACCATTGACAGTGAACAGTGTAGAAGCCAAAAGACTCTGCGGTTACACAAGAAACATTTAAAATTACCGGTTAATTTGTTCTGTGTGAGGTTTTTGTTTTGCAGTAAAAACTTGTTGAACTGAGGTCTGTTCATCTATCCATTCATTTTCTTCCATTTATGCAATTCAGGGTTTTGGTTTGTGCTAGAGCTTATACCAGCTGTCATAGTGCAGACCGGCACGTGGCACAGGGAGAACACAGAAACTACAAACAGCTGGATTCAAATACAGTGCTAACAACCGCACCACCTTTCTGCAAATCCCCAGCGTGGAAAGGTTGGGTCAGAGGCATACACATACTACTGAGCCCTCATCGAGCTGAGAAAAAGTTCACGCTTCAAAAATTTTTTAGCAGTGAACAATACAAAGACATCTAGTGTGAATTTAATTGAGATAAAGATCAGCACTACAGCATCTGCAAACTCTTATCATATAAATTACCTGACCCTGAGACAGCCCTCAGTTATGCTGCAATAGGCCTAGGCTGCTGGAGGTTACCCATGATGCACTGACTGTTTCTTCTTCACTTAACTCTTTTCAGTCTCTGCTCTGTGTGTTTATACACCACTCTGCATTAAATTAAAACGAGTTATTATTCATCTCTGGCTCTCTTCCACAGCATGACCTAGTCCTGTCTTCCTCCCCTCACCATCCCTGAGCCTGGTTCTGCTGGAGGTTTCTTCCTGTTAAAAGGGAGTTTTTCCTTCCCACTGTCGCCACAGTGCTTGGTCACAGGGGGTCATATGATTGTTGGGCTTTTCTCTGTTGTCTTTGTATTATTGTAGGGTCTTTACCTTACAATATACGACACCTTGAGGCAACTGTTGTGATTTGACATTATATAAATAAAACTGAACTGATTTTTTTTAAAATTGTTAGTTATTATTAATCTCTGACTCTCTTCCACAGTGTGTGGAAGCCTGAGGTTTGTTCCTGTTGAAGGGGAGTTTTTCCTTCCAACTGTCACCAAGTGCTTGTTGGGTTGTCTGATTGTTAGACCTAAACAGTATAAAGTGCCTTGATGTTGAATTAAATTGAACTGAATTAACTTCAATTAAATTTACTTACATTTACTTTTGGTTGAATGTCACATTAGTAGGGGCTGCCTCCAATATTCTTATATCATAAGATAAATATATGAAATAATGATGATATAATATATTTAAACATTTTCTCACATTAACACTCAGAAACCTATCCAAATAGTGTACTACTTACATTTGGTTCAAAAAAGATGCTCAGCATTAAAACATGTCTGTTTTTCTTATATGTTACCAGCACAGAAGAGGATTTAGTTCGTAGCACCCAAGGACCAAGGAGATAAGTGATCTATTTGAAAGACAATATCCCAGTACAGGGGATTGGGCTAAACATAACCATTAGGAAGATAACTTATGTCACTTTGGTTAAAGATGGGATTATATGTTGTTTTCTGCTCCCAGTTTTTTAATTGAGGCTCCCAATCTTGTGCTGATCAATGAGTAATGAGGTAATGAACACAAATGTTGTATTTCCCTTCTATCATGTGAAGTTTGGCCATTTAATGACACAATCTTCTTCTTTTGCACGGTTCTATTAGCAATATAATAGAGTACTATCAAAACCCACTGTATGTGGAAAATGTGCGTTAATTTGTACAACCACGCTTTATATTTCTTTATTTATTCCAGTATTTGTACATCACAGCAATGGAAGGAGGCTGAAGGGACGTGGATCAGAACACATATTATCACAATTATATGGTTCTATGCTCGGGTCAAACTTAAGGACAAAATTGTTTTATAGTTTTTAAGGTTTACAGATATCTAGAGGTGAGAATATGTACAGGAATATTAACTTCTCTTACTGGACTGCTAGTTATTTCACTTACATTGCTTACATTTCAGTATGGCACATCTGACAGGCTGTAGAATATGCCTATATGGAATTGCTATAAACAGGTCAGGTTTTATCATTAAATGGAAAAGTCAGGTTTGTCAGTCAGGTTTGTTTTTGTGCATTGTCTCAAGAGGAGCCTTGAGGGTTAAAGGGGTGAAAGAGCACAGAGTGCACTAAGAATACAGAGCTGTGTCTCAATGAGAAACTGTGTGAGAGAAGTGTTTTCACTGCACTCCGGCTCTTTCTGTGATGGAGATTGTGTGAGTCAGTTTGTGTATGTGTGTGTATGCTTACTGTGCTGGACAGGCTTTAATAATTGACGGTGGTGCCGGGCGGAGGTGTACACCCACAGATTCTCCTGCATACAAGGGATTCTTCAGCACAGATACGTCAGCAGTTAGCTGTATTGGGAAAGCATAACCACTAGGAGCATTTGGGCTGCGGTGTTCAATTAGTACTAGTGTAACTAGTATGTTAGTATAACTGATATTGATATTGTGAACACATCAGATTATTATTAAAAAATAAATATAATATGCATAATGCTTCCATTTTAGAGATAAACTCAGCATTTAAAGTCTGCATACAGTCAGCTGACAGTGTTCAAGTAAAATTAATACATTAAAAACATTAAGTGTTAAAATGGGCTGAATTATAGATCCCTTAATAGAGCAGTAGGTGGTTTCTTTTTCATCGAGCTTGCTGTTGGAAAGTTGAAACTATAAACAGCATATTTCAAGAGCTTAGCCGGTGGTTTGCTTGTATGGTAAAAACTACTACAGTGGTATTTTCTTCTTACACAGTAACTCATTGTAAGCATACAGTGTTTAACTCACTTCTCATGTCCTCTCCTCTGTCATTCCTTGTAGTTATCACTGCAGTACATTTCTCCAGAGTACCTATACTGACACTGAAAGAACATCTTTGTCTCTCTCATCCCTTTTCCATTACACAGAATCACTAGAGGAACATTAGCAGGTCAGTGTCAATCAACCGTGAGATCTGGGACTATTATTTTTAAAGGAGAAGCCCTCCTTGGTATTTAATTTTTTCTATATGTGGCTAAATGTGTATCTGTAAAGTGTTGTAACCTGCAAAGAGTTGTGAGTAAAAGATTAACCTGTTAGCATCTATTTTTGCTTCTACCAGCACATTAACAATCTTGGTCTGTTGCTGTCAAGGTCAAGTATTCACAGATATAGTAAGTGCAGCCACAAAACAAAAAAATCCCAGCACACCCACAGTCTGCCATCTGCAATTACACCTATCAATGCAAACTGAGGACCCACTGAGAAATTAAGTCGCCCTAAAACAATCCTTCACTCTATCTCCTCCTGTTGTCTCAAACTCTGTCTCCCTCAGGCTGGGGTTGCCTGGAGCGAGGAGATAAAACGGCTCCATCTTAATCTGTGGGTGGCACAAGCCTACAAAGAAGGCAATTAGGATTATAATTTACAATTCCCTTGCCCTTCTCTCCTCTCTCTCCCCTTTCTCTTCTTTCCCACTCATACCTCCTTTCCACCCATGATTTAATGTCTTTATGTGTGTCGTGTATGTGTGTGTGTGTGTGTGTGTCCCCACAGAGCAGCGCGAGCATTTGGAGAGTACCTGTCCCACACACACCCTGAAAACCGAAACGGATCAGGTCAGCGTCTCTGCCATCCTGTCATTTGTCCATCCCTCTATCTCCCCTGTGTGTATTCCTTTATGCTTTTAGTTCTTTTCTCACCTCATCCTCTGCTGAAATGCCAGGAAGCACTCATTGGTGTGTCACGATGACAGCTGATAACCGAAGAGAGATGATTATCCACTGTGCCAGCTTGTCATTTTTTTTCCCACTCTTTCTGTTTTCTTGCTCTTTAGCACCTTGGTATATTTCTCATTCTTTAGCACTTTTAGTTGTCTTTATAACCATCTTCGTTTTTCAAATTCTAGCTCATCTTCTGTGTGAAACCTTGGTGGGTCCTGACCCGGAGTCGCCAAGTGACACATTTGGCCCCAACAACAACAACCACCTCCATCCCTGTTCTGAAACTAAGGGCTGTGAGGACAAACAGGAGACCAGCCTAGTGACACAGCCACTGGGCTTACTCCAGCCAACCCCATCTTCTATCACACTTTCTAACAAGGCACCAGCACGATTGTCCCTCGAACGCAGCTTCTCAGTGGAGGAAGACCAGCAGAAGTGTGTGGAGTGTACACTGCAGCCTTCACGTGTGTACACCATCACCACCCAGCACGGTATGCTGATGAGCGCCGGCCAGGGCAGCAAGGAGAGCCTCGAACTGGACGTCCTAAAGGAGAAGTCGGGGAGCAGTGGGGTAGGATCTAGGGGTGGCTCGATCCAGCCTTCCAATTCCCCTTCCTCCGCCTCATCGTCTCCAACCCAGTACCATCGCGCAAGCAGTGGCCGTGGCGCCAGCAGCTGTGGCAGCCACCATCACAGCAACCATCACCATAGTATGCACCATCATGGAAACCACCACCACCACAATGTCTCGAGCATGAATCCACCTTCCAGCAGCGGAGGAAGTAGCGCGGCAAGTGGAAGCAGCAGTAGCAACCAGCAGCCGCAGCTAACCGCTGCAGGCTCTCACTCTCATCATGCATCACACCACCACACCCACCATCATCATCACCTGTCTCAGCCTCCACTGCAGACCTCGGTCAGCGCCCACAACATTCGTAGCTGGGGCGAAGGTGGAAAAGGGGAGGCGGAGTGTAGCGGGTTGGCTTGTGAGTCGTGCAGTACTGCTCCCTCTCGAAGCCAGGGTTCCCTGGACCTGGAGAGTGCATCGAGAGAGGCAGGCAAGCAGCACCGACGCCTAGAGCGGATGTGGAGTGTGGACCGGATGACTGGGCTGGAGAGAGGTGAGAGGGTTCAGGACACAAAGGAAGGTAGAGGCTCAAAAGGCACAAACAAGTGGGGGGGAGGGTAGTGTAAGGTTCTCCATAAAGCCCTGTGGCTGGAATGGGTATGGGACCAGAGATGAAATAGATTTTGATCTTTTTTCAGTTTTATGTAGTTGTTTCTAAATAAATTAAATACACTTTTAATTTGACATACGATGTATATAATTAAGTCAAACTAACAGAATCAATAGAAGAGTATATTTTCTCTGTGAAGCAAATAATTATAATGGTAATTATTAATATTTTACATTTTTAGTAAACTTTAACAGTGATGATGTTTTGTATATAAACCAATAAGAATAGCTACTTAAACATTCACTTCAATTCAATACAGTTTTATTTGTATAGCACCAAATCACAACAACAGTTGCTTCAAGGCACTTTATGCTGAAAGTTAAAGCCTCTTTATTACGAAGTACAAAGAAGCAGAAAAAATAATAGAAAATGGCAAAAAGAAACTACAGTACAGTGCAAAACTCTTGAGCCACTCCTCATTCCTTAATACTTTGTTAGGGAAAATATAAAATTGGTGCAACAAGTTATAGAAACATGTGCAAACATACATGGCAATATGGTATATAAGGCAAAAATGTTTGTACAATTCTTGATATGACTGCCTTTATTCTTCAACGTAACCTGAACTCTCTTGGGAAAGCCTTCTTTGAATTCTTTAAGCAGTCTTCAGGAATAGTTCTCCAAGTTTCTTGAAAGACATTCAAAGCTCTTCTTTGGATGTCGGCTGCCTTTTGTTCCGTTCTCTGTCAAGATGATCCCACTGTGTGTCAGTAATGTTGAGGTCCGGGCTCCGGGGGGCAATCCATGACTGATAGTGTTTCATTGTGTGCTTTTCTATCCAGACATTCAGGTATACAGTTTGCAGGGTGTTGGCAGTGTGCTTGGGATCACTGTCATGCGGAACAATGAGGCCAATGCCAATTAGCTTTCCAGATGGTATTGCACTGTGGCTAAAAATGGACAGGATTTCAGAAATCCATCAATTTTGATAAGATCTCCAACACTGGCTGAAATGAAGCCCCAAACCATGACAGAGCCCCCACCGTGTTTTGCAGATGGCTGTAGACACTCCTCTTCTGTCTGATTTTAACTTTTTTCCCCTGCCTATTCCATGACTTTAAAATACTGTTGATCTGATTTAGATAGGGCTTTTCTTTTTTTTTTTTAGGCCTCCTATTGCCTATGATGTTCTCCACTTGTCCAGTTTCTTAAATTTTCAATGACACGCTGCAAATTTTCAACAAATTACACTTTTCTCAGTGTACAAAATACTATTTGTAGATCCAACGAAAGAAATGGAAACCAACATGGTCTTTTTGCCAGGTTTCTTGTAATAAAGTGCCTAAAGATTGAAGTTAAAGTTATCTGAATAAAATTGTCTGTTATGTGCAGCTCTGGTTCATTAGTTAGGTGCCTTTTAATGTTGGGGTGATAAATAGATCAATGTTAAGTGGCTTAACAAACAACAATAAAGCATTCCTCTGAAATGATCAGGTATAAGCACTGGACTGAAACAAGAGAGAACTATTGTTCAAGACAGCTCTAAAAATTACAATAAATTCTTGGAAGCAAAACATAAAGAAAATGAGGATTGGCTCGAGACTTCTCCACAAAAATTCATCTCTTTAATTCATGACGTTTAAAGGACGGCACAGTGGTGCAGCGGTTAGCACTGTGGCCTCACAGTAAGAAGCTTCTTGTCTTCCCTTTCATGTAGAGATTTGATGTTCCCCCTGTGCCTACATGGGTTTGTATCCAAAGTCCAAAGACATGCTTGTTAAGTTAATTGGTGATTCCAGCTTGAATGTGTGGTTTGATGAATAGTTAAGAAAATGGACGAGTGAATGAAGGATGTTATAGCAATGAAAAATAGTGCAAATGTAGGTTATAAAATCACTAGTAAAACACACCTTTGGTAGTTTTCACAAAAATCTTCTCCATCAGATTACTTTTTTTTAAACTTAAGATTCCATATAAACTCTATTTATAATACCTGAGTATAAAACAAGTAACAAATAAGCCCTTCATAAAATGACAAGAAATAACACTTATTACTATCAGTGTTTATCAGTCTAAGGAAACAAAACAAAAATAACGGATGCCTGCATTAAAATAAGCTAATATTATATTTACTACTTCAAATCTATTTCTTCTCAGGTCTGGAGGGGATCGAGAGTTTGATGTTGTAACGTGGTGATCTGTATTTTTGACTCTTCGTCTGCCCGTCTCTTTCCTCTGCTGTCTCTTCCTTTGTGTCTCCCTCTCTCCATTTGTGGAGTGCTGGACTGTGAAGTGCTGGTGCTGGTTTTGTGATTTCATATTTCCAATAAATTTACTGCGACATTTGCCAATATGGTCTATTTTTCTCTGTCTATTAAACTTGGAAACCTCATTTTTCTCTCTAATTGCAGAGGACACCAACTGGTTCCCCAAGGAAAATATGTTCACCTTTCAAACTGCTACAACAACCATGCAGGCGTGAGTGTCCAGTTCCTGTGCACACACGTACACAAACATACACAGTCACAATTATGCCAGATCTGCTGTTTGAAAGGTCAGAGTAAACGTACCATGGCAATGTCTTACACAACTGCCTAGAAACAGACCATTACTGGCATACTTAACATTAAGGATTTTCTAATTGATTTATTATCTTCTAGGCTGCCATTGACTTCCCCTTGAGCAAGTTTAAAAATCAACTTGCAAACTATTATAAGTTTGCTTAAGGAGGACATCCATCATAGTGACTATTTTGTTAATTGTCACATTTCCTTTTGGTTAAAATGTAATCAGCTACAAGTTTTTCTTCAAAGAAGAATAAAAGAAATGCTTAGACTGATCACTCTCATCTCATATGCATCATCATATTTATCGTTGTCCATATTACTAGTCTACACGAAAACCTGAAAACGCCCCTTTTGAGGGCCGTAAAATCAATGCTGCATGTGCATTCGAGCTGGAATATTAGTCAGCGCGTTTGAATAAAAACGCGTGCACCTATTTGTGTAAGTGCATGAATTTATCTCTCAAAAACACCTGCAGTTGCAGAATATTTCTACTGTCACAACTTCTGATTAAAATATGCAGAATCTCCCACCGTTTCCAGCAAACTGTTTCTCCCCTTCACTGTCATTTTACCTCTTTTTAAGTCATTCACTTTGTGTTTTCGCCTTTCACCTTGTATTAGATGCTTGTTGCACCATCTGTTGAGCCCAAAGTCACACTCAACCACATATCCCGCAAAAGCTGTTTGATTCTATAATTAAATGCAAACCTACGGCACTAATATGGCTTTACTTTATTAGTTTTTACACATGGAGATTAAACATAAACTTCCTCTGTCTCATTCTGATTCTGTTCTTTGCCTCTCTGAGACTCAGTGCTCTCTGGTGCCTTAACTGTTTCTTCTTCTTTCTTGCTTCTCTTCTTGCATGCTAATTAATCTTGGGACCATCAAACAGGATCTCGTGAGTATTGTTCCCTGCCTGATTTCTTTTTTCCTCATCTAAATCCCTCGTCCTTAACTGCTGTTCCTTAACTTAGATGCTATCATTTAACCTTCATCATCGGGCTGCTTGTTGCGCTGAGTTAAAGAAAATAAATCATTACAAGAGAGAACCAAGCAGGATGTAGCGCAGTGCTCTCAAATAATATGAAAACTGAAATACATTTAATATTGCGTGTTTAGCTCTCTGAACAACTATAAAGCGCAGTCAGCACAAATAATGTTAATTCATGTAAAAACTCAAAATGGCTAAAAATGTGACAGAAGGGAAGTCCGGTGTAATCCAGTGCTGCTGAGTAAGCCTGCCAAGCTCAAGTACAGAAAATGTCTGTGCGTTGGCTGACCTAAACCCTGGCAGCTCACATGCGCCCTGCAGTTTTACCAGTTTGGCACGCACACACTCGTCTAGGTCACAGCAATAGAGGGACTTTGGCCATTTAAGATATTTGTGTTAGTTATGTTGGTGCTCTAATCCTTCTTCACAGCCTTCCTAATTATCACTAAATCTGTGCTGGCTGACTTCAGCCATGTTTGGAACTAAATGTGTCTGAGAGATTTCATAAGTACAAGAACAAGTATTTATAGTGCTAAAATGCAATCCAAGTGTCTTCCAGTAAAATGCAACTTTTGGCTGTATTCAGTAAGTTCCATAAAACTTTGAGAGATAAATAGCCTGTAAGAAATGTGCTGTGTGCAAAAGCTTCCTAACTAGCTTCAGCGATAAGATAAATGCTAACATATTAACACTGCTTAACCAAGCCAGAACCTTAACATTTCATACTACATACCCCTTCCTGCTGCAACACACTGTGACTAACTAAGCCCAGCTAACCCGAGCTGCTACTTAACACTGAAAACATGTCAGGTTTTCATTAAACAGTCCACTCTTCAGTTGTAAGCACAAAGGTATTCAGTCCTGATGTCAGTATTTGTTATAAAAATATAAAAACCCCAAATTAACTGATTGTACTAAACAGTATGTATGATTAAATATATCATCATTTGAGAGAGAAAGTTTTCAAAGATATCTGTGTAGTCTATGAAAATCTATGTACACCCTTACTGTTTCCATAGAAATCAAGGAGGTAAGTAGCAGGAAAGTGCTGTTAATCACCATTAGATTAATCAGTTAATTAGACTTGTTAGCGTGTTACATGTCAAAGTTCATGAAAGTACAATTAGAAAAAGATTGAACTAGTATGGCTTGTTGGAAGAGTTGCCATGGCAGCAGGCCTAGGTTTGACTGTTGAGATGTTTTGCCATAATGCACAGTGGCACGTGGCACATGTTGGTGAAAACCAAACACAACATGCCAGCAAAAACACCTCATAGCAACTGTCAAGCATGGTGGTGCAGGGAAGATGATTTTTGCAACAGGACCTGGGCATCTTGCACTCACTGAGTTGACCATGAACTCATCAGTAAACCAGTGTTCTAGATGTTAGGCCACGTGTCCTAGAGCTAAACCTTAGCCAAATTTAGTTCATGCAACAAGATAATCATCCCAGGCAAAGTAAGTAGCAATGTTGTGGTAGCACTTTAGAGAGCTGTGCAAAAACAAATGGCTGGTAACCATAACGAACTAAAGCAACCTTGCAAAGAAGAATGGGCCAAAATTCCTCCACAACTCCTTTGAGTCATTGGGGTGTACTTAGCTTTTAAAAGGGCAGCATAGAGACCTTTGAAAACTTTCATTTTCATGTGACTCTGTGCTATTTCTAAAAACCTGTAAATAACACATCCAAGATCAACTCTGTTGTTTTGTATTATCAATACTTGACTAGGTAAACTAGCTAAAATTGGAGATACTTCTGACCAGTTTTATGGCTGAGGTGCCATGAAGTGCCAGTCTGGTGGAAGTGGATTAACACAATATTGTTTTGGGGTTTGTTTTTTTGTTTTCTTAAAATGGGATTTCTTTCCCAAACATAGAAAGTAAAGCCGCACCTCTTCATTAAATGGGCATGTTATTTGAGGGGGATTTTACTCATTCATTTTTATTTACTCGAGCAGAATGTGAAGTGCCCACAGTGGGGTATCACTGGTTAAAGGTAGTCTAGCTAAAACTCTGATTTGGACAAATGTTAATCAGTTTCACAGAATTGTTGGGTCACACTTTCAAATGACAATTAAGACTGTTGAAGACATAATCGCACATTGAAAGTGGTACATTTCACACCACGTTTGTACTTTGACACATGGAAGTCCAGTGTGAGCCCAGTGGTATGACTTTCTGCTAGTCAGAACACACTCAAGTTTCTCAGTAGTTCATATGAACGAATGGCATGCCTCCACAAAAAGAAAAATCCTTCTTTTCCAATGAGGTCTTGCTAGGGGAAGATAGTTTTAATGTCAAGAAATGTTTCCATTAAAAATTGATGTACCTCATGTTGTGAATAAATACCCAAAGTACTGAAGAACGTGCATGTATTTGAGTGTAGCTGCTTTTTGAGTTCACATACCTGCAAGAGCTGATTTAAGTATAGTGTATACTCCAAACTCAACATAACATTAAAATGCAAAGAAGGGTGCACTAGAAGCAAAGCGGAACTGATTCTGGGATGGTACAAAAAGTAAAAAAGTATAAAATTCCCCCCAAAACAAACTATTTCTTTAAGAATTGAAAAGTGTAACACTTGAAAAGTCACTTAAGGTGACAAGATACTCATTTCTATGGGATGATGGATTATTATAGATGCAAACTGGCACATGGGGTTATTTACCTTGCTGGTCTTTTTAGTCAAAGCTATCTGCTGTCTACCTACAACAGCATCCTCTTTATAGCCCAAAAACCCCTGCAGCTCAAAGCCGTGGCATCAGCCTCCCTGCACTGTCCTACCCCTCACTATGCCAGCATTCTCCCTCTCTCATCCCTTTAATACTGTGCCACATCATGGCAGGGCTTTCCGGGGATTTGTGCAGAGAAAAAGGAGAGAGAGGGAGCAGGAGTCAGCAGAAGTCATCCAGAGGTACGAAGCATCCCCCCCCCCCTCAGGCGCAGTTTTTGGCGCTCATTTCTGGCTATGGTTCTGTTATTGCTTATTTACAGCCATATCTAATCTGTGTAAGCCAAATAGCTGGAACATGGCACACGAGGTGTGAGGACATCAGGTTTTAAAAGAACCAGAAAAGGATAGTCTCACAATGCCCCAATTTCAAAGCCAGAATGAATCAAACTTTTATTCCAGTGTAAGGCTGGAAAAATGAAGATATGCTACATGGACAACTTATTTTTGTTTTTGTAGATAAGTTGTATGCAATTTGTCTGAATTAATTTGAGAAATATTTTGTATAGTTGCAAGCACCTAAGCATTTAAATCTGTAGTACACCACAGTCTGCTTTATTAGAGCTACATTTTAAATATGATGATATTGTTTTTATAAATATGTGTTTATTTACCTCAAAAAAAATTTTGATTCTGCAACATGGAGAAATGACTTTAGTTGCAAGTTCAGAACCTGTTTCACCCGGGCCCTGATACTCTGTCACACAGGGGCAGATGGCGTCTGCGACACGAGGCAGTACATCTCGATTCCTTTGACATCTGAGTGTTATCCATCTGCAGTGCCAATGTCATTAAAGCTGCGTGTTGTTTCATCGAAATGTGTGATTTGAGCACAAGGGAAAATAAACTGCAGAACAAACTTTTGGGGGCAGTTTACCTCTAAAACACACAAAAATCCATCCTGTGTCTGTCTCAAAGTGTTATTCTAAAAATATGGATTTTAGCACATTGAGGCTTTCTTTACCCTAAGGCTGTCAAAATTTTAAAATGCATGTTTATTTTTCTTTCTCGATTGTGGCTTTTTATCCACTCTAACTGGGTATTTGAACAACAGAAACAGATCAAAAACAAAAACAACCTCAAAGTGAATGCATTAGAAAATGCCTGCTTTGTGGACAGGGAACATTAGATATTTTATAAATGAGACATGAAATCTCTTGATGACACAATACTCTTTGTGATGGACTTTGTTCTTCATCATTTCCTTTCTGTAACTCTGAAACAGCTCAGTGAAAGCTTCTGTATGGAGATGTTGCAGTGGTGCTGGCTTAAGAATGGGATTTATTGTATTTTCTTGCCCACGGTGAACTCTAAATAATCATCCATATCACAGTCTGCTGATATAAACAGAATTTAAAAATGTATTCACATTAGGGTAAATCTGGTCTCTACCACAGCACAAAAGAATTATTTGTATAACAAGGCAATTTTCACGCAGGGTTTCTGTTAAAAACCAGTGAAAGCAGTGGATTCAATGCAAATTTTTCCACTTTGTTTGTTATATTATGAGATAATAATAATGAAGATAAAACTATAAACAAAAGCAAGGAAGAGTGAAGGAACCATTTCAATGCCTAATCGCTCCAATTTTTACTTTCACTCTTGAATTCTCTCAGTTATTACAGCTGCTTTGTGGCTTGTTTACGTGGGCTTTTTTATACCGTTCCTTATTTTCTCTATATTTTTTGTTTCGTTAAGCAGACAGATCGATAGATAGACATCTGAGACGGTTCTAAACGCTCTGTTTTCTTTCTACTACTAGCTCTGAATATGTGTATAACATGGCCACACAGCCACAGGTGTCTGAGCAGAGCAGTCTGACCCATCTTCTTTTTATAAGAGACAGCGAATCTGATTTTTACTGCGTGAAATTCTCCACATTCACTTTCACTATTAACTGAACTAAAACTGCATCATTATTATGTGTTCTAGCAAAAATATCAAAAATATATAGACGTTAAAAATGCCATAAGAGTCTAGTGTTACTTCCAAAACACAGGGAAAAACAAAGCCAGGAAGTCCTTTCCATAATCATTACTAAAAAAAAGTGTTCACTTTATATCTGTGATTTTCATCCCTGTTGTCTGCACAAAATTAAGACACTGCAGGTGTGATAGCATCTATTCATTTTCCTTATTTAACTAGGTGGTGTGATTATGTTTCTGCTCATTTAATCAGCAATTTAGTCTGCAAATTTTACAGTTTACTACTGCAATAATGAACCACATATCATTTTAATAATCTAGGACTAAAGGAAACAAAATAGTTTTTCTGTGATAAGTATATGCACTATATTTAATTTCTAATTTAGACCATTTTACACTAGATCTAGATGATGAAGTTAGCTGTACAAACATGCAAAATCAAACCATGAATAAGTTATTCTCCTGACATTATTAAAGAAGTAAATCAAGGGAAAGAAGACTCTAAAGACTTCTTTCCCCTTTCTGCTGCTTCTATATTTATAGGCTTTACCAACAGACAATCACGCATATATTTCCCCACACACAACCACACGCTGAGACCATTAATAATGAGTGTTGACTGGTAGCTTAGTGAATCGACACTGAGTGTAGAGGGGACATGGGAGGAGCTCAGAAAGATAAAAGGATGTTTATCTGGGACTCTTGCATAGAACATTATGTCAGGATCAGGCAGCAAGTCACCCACAAAGTCTACACAAACCATAATACTTTGCTGCTATTAAGAAGATTAAACGCTTCCAAACGGTGCATGGTAATGCAACATCTCCAATATTTACTTACTCATAGGCTAGTATGAACGTTTATGTGTGTGTGATCTGGTTTTAGATGGGTCAAAACCAACACCAGTCACACATTATGTTTCAGTGTACAAGACAATTTAAATATCAAATATGTGTATCTCTGGTTATTTAATATGACATTTGATTGACAACTCATTTGGCAAATTCTTTGAAAGCCACACTCTGACTCATACCACAGTTTTTATAATATATAAAGCACACGTTTATGTCCTTTATCTATAGTTTCATGAAAGTATGTACCTTTTTAAGCATTTTATGGCGAACCTTTTAAAATAGATGCATAACTATCATCCTTCTTTCTTTTCAGTGTTAGGGTTAGCAATGTCCCTGCTGTGTGTACTATGCAAGTGTGTTGCCCATTTAGTTCAGTATTACCTGAAATATCTGAGTTTCTTGTCTTTTCATGTGCTATAATTTTAGTCTGATTTGTGTTTTTATTTATTTGATTTTTTGCTTTAAACTTGTTAACAAACTCCACCACTAATATTGATAAACCGGACTGAGTAAAAACCATTTTTGCACCAATCACACACTGGTTGCAGAGGAGGAGTATTTCCTAAAGACTTTAGACATGGTCAATATATGTCATGGACATTATTCCATAAATTGTTCACTAGGTCTATGCTAACTTGACCAAAAAAAGCTACTTCTGAAGCTTTAATGTCTTGTTCAGATGAGAGCTGAGCAGGGTTTCCCTTCTGGCTGCTGTTGCAATATAATCTTGTGCATTTCAACAATCTAAAAAAAAAAAGCATAAAAAGAGGTATTGTCACCATGTGGTAGCCCACATTACTCCCACAGCACTGTTTTGACCACTCACGCTGACAAGTAAATGAATATATATTTACCTAATTAGCTCTTTTTTCAAACCTCTGTTATAAATAGATGCGTGACACTAATGTGTGTGTTTTTGTGTGTTGCCTGACTTTTTTTCTCCCCACCCACCGCTTCCCCTTTCTCTTCTTTACATTTTGGTCCTTCCTCTGTCCTCTGTTATCCCTCCTCCGCTTTGATTTTGCTACCCACAGGAACTTCCGGAAGCATCTTCGGATGGTGGGCAGCAGAAGGCTTAAAGCACAGAGTGAGTCAGATGTGTGTGGTTGATATGTTTGCTCAAATTGACTGTGATGTTCTTCACCCCGCCATCACAAGTGTTTTGTTTTCCTGTTTATTTTGGCGTGTTCTCGCCTGTGTGTGTGGCACCAAGCACTGCTGCTGCTTTGCTGGGATTTTTTTTTTTTTAAATCAGCATATTGTCTCTCTTTGAAGATTATATATTGATCAGTGTGTGTTTGATAAGTCAGCGATATGACTGTGCATGTGTATTTATGTGTGTGTGTGTCTCTGTGCACAGTACGTGCTTTCTAGTTGCAGCACTTTAAATGTTTGTTTTTTTGGTTGTTTTTGTCATAAAGCACAAACAAAAATAAATTACATACTTTTAAAAAGGCAAAAAATGAGGCAATGGGTTGCGGTGATTGAAAAGTGTGTGTTTTTCTTTTTAAAAATAGTGAGCGGGGCATCACTGAGACGGGTCTGTGAGACAAATGAGATCTTAGAGTCCTGTGACTGCAACCTTTCAAGAAACTTGATAGATTGGATTGACTCATCCAGAGTTTTATTGTCTTTTATGATTTTAGAAAATATGGAAGTACAAAGAAAACACGTACAGTGTGCTCTGCTAAAAATGGTGATCTTTTTATTTCTGTCAGCACTCATAAATCCATGTGAACGTTCAAAATGAATACAGCCATCTTTCTTAAATGAAAATCAAAGAATCTTTAAAGTCTCTGTTGAAACCATTACTAAAACCTAAACATGACACCATCTCCTGATTCTTTCACTGTAGAAATATATGACATCCCCAAATCTTGATGCTGATGTCTGTAAGGGAAAGTGATCTCACATTCCTACAGTACTGTGTAAAAGTCTTGAGCTATCCCTCATTTCTTTATATTTTGCTCAGAAAATAGGAAAAAGGCACAACGATTTATTGAAATATGTGCAAATATGTTTCCATTTATATATAAGGCAAAAACAGAGTATTTGGTGTGACCACCTTTATTCTTCAACAATAGTGAGCTGCTTAGGAAAACTTTCTTGTAATTTCTTTAAGTAGTCTTCAAGAATAGTTCTCCAGCTTTCGTAAAGGACATTCAAAGCTTTTCTTTGGATGTTGGTTTGCTTTTGTTCCATTCTCTATCAAGTTGATCCCACACTGCTTCAATAACGTTGACATCCGGGCTGATACTATTCCACTGTGTGTGTTTTTCTAACTAGTTATGCTTTTACCGCACTGGCAGTGTGTTTTAGATCGCTATCATGCTGAAAAATGAAGCTGTTGCCAGTGAGATGCTTCCCGGATTGTACTCCATGTTGGCTCAAAATCTGATCATCATACTTTTCGGTGTTCATAGCTCCATCAATTTTCCCCAACAACCCCTCACCTCCTTCACACAGATAAATAAATGTAGGGTGGCTCAAGTTCTCTCTCTTCATGGACACATGAGCGTTTTGTTAGGGCCAAGCTAACCTGAGTATAGTTAGTTAACCTGCAGTTTGGTTCTGACTTAAAAAATACATAAAGCTGTATTTGTTGTGCTAAGAATATAGAATAGGACACGTTTAAATCATTACATTAAAAAAGTTGAGCCTCTGAACTTCCTTATAAAAGAAAAGATGAAGACGTTGATGTGAGAAGCAACATGAACAAAGTCAGGATTAGGGATGGGTATCGTATAAAACCTAAACGATACCTTAAACGGCGCTCGAACCGGTGCTTAAAGAATGGAGAACACAAAATTGGTCCAAAAACCTCTCATGCTCAGCTGTTTTTTGTAAAAAGATAACAATGTTAGCCTTTTCTGCAGCTATGGGGCATATATGATATCATTCTTGGCTGGAAGCAGTGCTTAGACAATGGAAAAACTACAAACTTTGGCCAAACACCTCTCATGTTTAACTGTTTTCCACTTTTACTTTGGTCATTTTAGCCTTTTTGGCCAGGGTGAAGGGAGTATCTGCCATCAAACAAGAAGACAGCCGCATGTAGCTATGATGATGTTTGCTAGTTCACCTTACATGCATTAATGTAATAACGTGGTTAGCCTACTCAACGTAAATTACACACGAACAACATTAAGCTACTCATGCAGAGAAGAACGGCTGCTGCTGCATCATCATCCTCATCATTTCTGCTACACTGGCAGGGCTAGGGGCCAGGACTCTACTCCTCCAGTTTTTGGGGGATGTTGCTAACTCCGGTCCGAGGCACCACACCCGCAGTAGATGTGCACAGTGTGAGGTCTTGCAGCAAGCTATCAAATACGGCACATTTCTCGGCTTTTTAAAAAAACGCTATGCGTCGCCAGGTGTTTCATCAGATTTGAGGTGTTACCTCCTTTGACAGTATCACAGTATCAGCTTAAAGCACTTGTTGCAGGCTGCTGAGTTTGCATCTTTTGCTGTGAAGTACAGCCAGACTTTTGACCGCTTCGCCTTGGGTATTTTTAATCTGTAGCTCTGCTCTACAAGAACGTACGTACCTGGGCCCGCCTACTATCCTCGGAAACGTAAAATGATTGGCTAGAATCTAAAGTGTATCACAGCTCAGGAAAAAAAAGCACCGAAATAAAGCACTGAAATGTGGGCTGCTTTTCGGTCTGGTTACCACCGTTTATGTCAGAACCAATACCGGTACCCATCCCTAGTCAGGACCCATCGTCCTGAAAATCCACACAAGCCAAAAAAATATGATGCCCTGAGGACCACTGTTGATTAACTGTGTCAAACACTTTCAAGTAGTCTAAAAATATTCTAAGAGCACAGTGATTACTGTTCAAAGCAGAACAGATTTTATCGCAGAGTAGCTCAGTGAAGCTGGTAGGATATAGAAACTGGAGCGAGGAGAGGATGACTGTTTGTCTACTGTACAGTACGTGTTTGTTCGTTTGTACATGTAGGCAGTTTGTGCAGAGGAGAGATGCCATCGTATTTACACTACATTTGTGCACTTCCTCCATCCACCTTTGCGCTTTCATGTGTTGAAGATGGTGAGTGTATAGCAGAAACAGCCAGTTTGCAGGTTTCTCTCTCCCCGCCTGCACTAGCATTCGCTGAACGTAGATCGAAGAGTTTCAGCCGTTCCTGGAGTGATCCCACCCCTGTCAAGAATGACTCTCCTCATGAACCCAGAGAGAGTGAGTTTACGCAGTCTCACACATGTGCACACAACGACAAACAAACAGACACCAACAAAGAGTTGCTGACAGCTGCAGGGAGCAAACGCAAATAGTTAGAGAGAAAACATTGTTTTTCAAGCTAACCAGATTACAAACACTTAAATAGGGAGGTTTTAACATTCTCTCATCGGGCTTCCAGAGTCAAGTTTTTTAACATATAAGGAAATCTGTGCTAAAATTACTTACCCCACCTTGATAATAGGGGGGGGGAAACCTTTGCAAACCAAGCTTTCAGCGTAGCTTCAAGTCTGAACCTTTGGGTCACAGAGATTACTTCTGCATATACTACATTTAAGCAACATTTAATATGGACATCCACCTTGTAGTTGGATAAGAAAAATAAGGACAAACCTAATAGGTGACTTTTAATTTGTATGTAGCAAAATTTGCAGTCGTGAATGTTGGGACGTTGACATAAAACTTTGCATTTAAGCAAAGTGAGATGAGCACAAAAACATTCCCTTTTAAAAAGGTTTTAAACCTCGTAGACGAATATTATTAGCACATGCTTGCAAGCAGCGAATGTTTTGCTTGATAAATTTTGTCAGTTTCTATTTCTAGCATTTACAAAACAAAACAAAAAAAGGCTGACCTGGTTCTGTAAGAGTCCATATTTTAAATTAAGTCACGCTGCTTCCCAGCACCATCAGCTGGCAACAACATAAATTAAATATCAACCTGACATCCATATGCAAGAGTGTCTATTACAGATGTTAACCACAAATTAAGTCTGACAGGACAACAGAAATGAAAATTGTGAGAATAAATTTCGGTCAGTGCATTACGTGTGCGGTCAGAAATCATCCATGCGTCCCTTTGAGCAATCACATTTTGACTGTCAGATTGATTACAGCTTGAGTTGGCTTCGTGCCCTGTCATTAATGAATTTCCACACTCAGGTGACTCACAAGAAGTTGAAAGCCACTTAGCATTTCTCATGAAACACTAAAGGTCTCCTATTCAACACTTTGACATAAGAGTATGAGTTGACTGAGGCTAAATCAGACGTATCCTTGTGTTACTTGTATTTTATTAGGAAGTCGCATTGAGATCACAATCTCTCAACCCAAAACATCTAAATAATAATTCTACAAATAAAACATAAAATATAAATCCACAACATTATCCATAATGTCAAAATACCCATAACATAAAACATTAAATGGCTTCTCAAAAGAAACGCCCACAAGTCTTCTTCACTGCTTTCCTTATTATGTTTTTGAATGCATCAATAGGTAGTGGCATGTTAAATGGAGGTCTTTCTGTAAAGTATTCCCTGTACAAGGTGCATAGGAACGAAACGCTGTTTTCCCAGATCTGCCAGATCTCATCAAAAAGCAAGCATCTAAAGGAGAGTAGCTGCTATTTAATAGCAGTGAAAGTTCTCTTTCTGTCGAGTGTGACTACACATTTAATCCCTGGATATTAAAATGAATTTTCAACAGTATGTCTCAGTTTCTCTACATGATAAAGAAGTGCTGTATAGGAAAGAGTAAATCAGAATAAATCAAAGTAATCCATCAGCACTACTCTTTGGGCTTAAGTTGTAAAGAAAATAAATGTGTAAATTTGAGGGGTGTAATTATAAAACAGAAGAAAGAAAGGTAAAAAAAAACAAAACAGTTTTTCCTTTAATCAGTTACTTTGATGTAGTATGAATGTTGTAAAAGCTGTAAAAACAAAGAAAATACAATTGTAAGTCCATGCGATGGGCCAAATTGGAGCTTTTGCTGGGCCAATTCTAGGCCCTTTGCCTTATGTTTGACACACCAATATAGAACTAAAACAGCTTTAACAGAAAATAAACCAGCGCTGCTTTCTTTGAGTGGTCAGTGATGGCCAACCCACCAAATCATTAAGAATGCAGTCAGAGACTTTGCATTTGCAATAAAATGTAGAGAAATAAATAAATAAGACCCTACTAAATGATATTACAGTATTAAAGTCTTTATAAAAATCCCCAAATAATCATTTTTACCACAATCATCTCAAGATTTCCAGTATTCAGAACTGAAAAGAGACCTAATAAGATCCACATAAGGTTATCATTGTTTCATTGTTTGTAGTCAGTTGAAAATGAAAGTCACATTTCATGGACAGTACGTGTCACAGTGCTGTCGCGCTCTCTCTCTCTCCCTTGAAATAAGATGACATTTTGTTGCTGCAGTCTTACAGCTCACTTCCTGATTTTGGCAGTTCAAGGCCAACTAACACAGGAAAATCAAATCTGTGGACACTCGTAGAATCGCACGTTCACACGTACAAACTGACTGTCTCTGCTGTCGACTCTGACCCTGTTCATCTGTCTGCGTATGACCGTGGGTCTTTTTCAACTTTGTGATGCTCTCTCTTTCTGTGAGTACGTCCTCAAAAATGGTGTGTGTCTTAAGTCAAGCCCTGTCAGCTGACTGTTGTAGGCGTATGTGTCTCAGTGTTTCTGGAAGGCTTTGAATCATGCTAAACTGCATTCATCGTCTTTCTGTCTTCCATAGTCTAATGAAAGATTAACGAGTTGTTTATTGCAGCTTAAAAGTGTGGTTGAGCCCATATTTTTCGCTTTTTTTTGTTGTGGGGAAGAGTGGTGTTAAATCACAGGCGGTTTCCTGGAGACTTTGATGTCAGTCTTGTTTATCATTTCCTTAGTTTTCACGCTGTTTCATTTCAATAGTCTCATACCATACCAACTGGTCACACATCAAAGAAACACGGCTCAGGAGCGAGCATGTTCGTGTCTCTCATTAGTGCAGTTAATGTAAATTTCACATCAAACCATGTCAACAAAACAACAAGCAACATAGACAAAACACACACAAGCCTGACTTGATGTCCAACAAATGTCCACTGGTACAAAAATCTCAGATGTAATAAACCAAGCCAAATATTGGGATCTACAAAGGTTTCAGCCACAACATGGGTGGATCAGTGTGAACGAGCCTAAGTGTTTCTGTATTAATAAATATGGAAGATTTTAACCTTCCAAGAAAAGATGTGAGTGAGCATCATTACAGTTATTAACTATTAACCCCTTGTTACTATAGTATAATCTGAAATCACATAAATAAATCCCTCTGTTTGTGAACAGGCAGGTAATTATTTGGCCAACAAACATTACAGCATTGCATTATTCAATACTGTGTTTCACATTTCAGTGGTAGCACAGGTCCAATATAGAATTTAATAGAATGAAAGGTTAATATGCTCATTTTTGGACATTGATCAGAAGAGACATGTAACAGCACTGGCCACCAAACATTTGTACGTGGATATTTAGTCAACGGTTTTAGAACTAATTAAACATATGGATAATTATTGTACTCGATATGTGTCCTGTAACATGTCCCTGCTTTACAATAACCGGTCTCCAGACTAAGTTCGATTTTTCTAGCCCATTTTTTGTAGCTGACACCTGAAATCTTGCTGCTATGCTTCCCATCAGTCATTTTCTTTTTTTCCCCATTGTTTTTGCTACTCTCTGCTTTTTCCTATTCCACCTGCCATTTTTGTATGCCATTGTCATCATTAACAGCTCCATCCTTTCTCTCTCCCCCGCACTCACCTTGCTTCACTTCCTGGACACATCCATCCTTCATTCCCCGAGTTTCTCTTTCTCTGTCACCTTTCTTGCCTCTCATCCAACTTCCAACAACTTGCTTACACTCTATTATCTCAGACCTTCTTTATCTTACATTTTCTGCAGGTGGAGACCTGCAGACCTCTTGTGGCACTCTGGATGAAGGAGGTCTCGACGACAATATAGACTGGGAGGAGGAAAGGGAGATGGAGAGGCTGGCATGTGAGGGAGATGACTTTATACCTCCCAAAATCATGGTAAGAGATCCATAAGGGAACGTTATATGGGTGCATCATCCTTGGTTATTGTTTTCTGTCCTGTTGGTTTTGTTCACAAGGAACTGAATTAGTTATTTTAACCATGTAACTGCCTACATGCTTATTGTTACTGAAACAACAAGCCATTTGAAACTTTTCTTTGATAGTTTGGTCAGTGTTGACATGATCACATCACAATGTTGCTGTAGATTGAATGGCTGCACATCTTTGATGCAAATCTCCCATATCGCCACCACATCCCAAATGTGCTTATTTGGGTTGATGATTGTTGGCTGTGGAGGCCATTTGAGTGAAATGAAGTACTGCCCTGTTCAAGAAACCAGTTTGAGATGATTTGAGCTGTAGCCATCATCAACATGAGTACGCCTTGGTCATAAAGTGATGGCTATGGTCAGCAACAATAATCAGATAGGCTGATTGGCCTGCCATGTGATTGGCTGATTAGAAACAATTGAAGAGGAATACAAAGTAGCCAGTGAGTGTCCATTAAAATTATTATAATCATTCTTGTTTTGTTTTTATTCTCTAGTAATTAAGACATATACAAAATCTACATCTTTATTACATCTGTAGAATATTACCTAGGGCATAGTTGTAATAAAATATAAGCGTACGATAAGAAATTCTGCCTTTTCCTCTTTTCTCTTTGTATTAATTCTTGTCCTTTTCCATCTTACATCGAAACTAACAAGTTTCCGCTCCTCTGCTGTTTCTGCTTCATGTTTAGCTGATCTCTTCTAAGGTCCCCAAGGCCGAGTACATTCCCACCATAATCCGTAGGGACGACCCCTCCATCATTCCCATCCTCTATGTGAGTGGAATGCACCAAAACATACAGTAGACAAGAGCTACAGAAAGTCACACTAAAATATACACATATATCAACCATGCAAACTGCCTTTGCTAAGATGTTTTGTGTAATTTTCATTTTCTTCAGGACCATGAACATGCAACTTTTGATGATATTTTGGGTGAGTATTTCTGTGGAGTGCGTGTTCTTCTCTGCCATTTTCACCTTCACTATTTCTTCTTTATTATTTTTTAATTCTCACTTTCTTTCTACAATCAAAACTTCACTAATGGAATATAAAACTATGTATATGAAATACATCTACTGCCAAACATTTTTGAGCCTGAAAGTAAATGTTTAACAAGTGACATGATGAATAATGAAATTTGTATAGATACAAAAGACTTACATAACATCCTGTCAAAATAAACAGAATAAAACACGAGGTCAATTCCTTCCTGTGAAATAGAAAACAGGTATCTTTACTTTATAGTGTTGCCTGTGGAGTTAAAGGTCACACAAATATCTTGTGGATAAACCTTACTTGCTTTCAAATCTCTAGAAATTAACTTAGGTTTGGCTAATGTGGCTTATTTATTTAGAAACTGTTTAGTGCTGCAATTGACTTCTCCCCTCTGAACACTGAGGCATTTACAGTCACATTCTCCAGAGTTTCCTAATGTAATAATGATCTCTGCATTGATTAGAGCTCTCATATAGAAGGTACAAGGATGCCCATGGATGTTTTTACAGATACATACAGATTTTCATTTGAAATTCATCGAGCTGTTTTATTTTACGATGACACTTTCTGACGCCTGAAGAACACAGTGTTGAGTTCAATTTAAATTACATCTTCTGTTTGTGTCTCCGCTGTCTATTACTACACCTGTAGTTGAACTCACCCTCCTGGGATTTTCTTTGTGTTCTTCCTCTCTTCCTACATTCTTACACGTCGCTTCGCTTTTCTTTTTTCTCTCCCTCTCTCGGTCCCTGTCATTCACATCAATCCCTCCCTTTCCCCCTCTTGCTCACAGAGGAAATAGACAAGAAGCTCACAGCTTACAGGAGAGGAAGCAAGTTCTGGAGGATGCTCATCTTTTGTCAAGTGAGGAACAAGAATTTTATTCCTAATAAAATTGAATATTTTACTTATTAACTGTCCTACCCTAAAGCACGCATTTATGTATTGTACATAGTGTATTTTTCCACAACGATATCCCTTTTTGAATGAAATTATTTCTGAAAATGAATGTCATGGATAGTAAAGGGACGATGAATAATATGCATGTATTTGGTTTAGCTTGGCTTCGGTTTGAGGATCTATAACACACTGTATACTTTTTTTGCAGGGAGGCCCTGGTCATCTGTATTTACTGAAGAATAAAGTGGCAACGTTTGCTAAGGTGGAAAAAGAGGAGGACATGAGCCAGTAAGCTAATTCTGGACATTAGGGTCCATCTCTCCTTAATGAATATTAGTTTATGCCACAGTAATGTAGAATAGTGCAACAATTCCTATTTATTTACCACATCTTATAAAGCATGGCCATAAGCCAGTGCATGCTTTTTTCTTTTAACCTTTATTTAATGGTTAAATACATGGCATGGTGGTTAGCACTGTTGCCGCACAGCAAGAAGGTCCTGAGTTCAATTCCACCATCAGGTCTTTCTGTGTGGAGTTTGCATGTTCTCCCCGTGCTTGCGTGGGTTCTCTCCGGGTACTCCGGCTTCCTCCCACCGTCCAAAGACATGCAGTTTGTGGGGATAGGTTAATTGGAAAATCCAAATTGTCACTAGGTGTGAATGTGAGTATGAATGGTTGTCTGTCCTTGTGTGTTAGCCCTGTGACAGACTGGCGACCTGTCCAGGGGGTACCCCGCCTCTCGCCCTACGACAGCTGGGATTGGCTCCAGCGCCCCCCGCGACCCTGAAAAGGAAAAGCGGATGGATGGATGGATGGAATACATTTTATCTCCATAAATTGTTGAACAAAGGAACAGTTTCTTTAGTTTTGCCTCTGTACACGACAACAATTAAGTGCAGACTATCAGTTTTAATTCAGGAGTTTTTACCCAAAAAACGTATTAAATTTTTAGGAATTTGTTCTCCGTTTTCAGAGGATCAAAATTAACGGGACAAATCAACATAAGTTCTAATATAAGGATTGTTTTCAGTACTTTGACGGGAAGTCATTGATTGTCTCTCAGACAGTGTACAGGACATCACCAAATACTGTTTCCTCACTTCGATTTGTTCTGTTACTTGTTGCATGTTTGTGGGTCTCTTTGCCTTCAGGTTTGTATCTTATAACTGAAAACCTGCTATTGAGTAGAGATCAGGTGACTGATTTGGCCATTGAAGAATATCTGATAGCTTTGGGAAACTTTTGCGTTGCCTTTGCAGTATATTTTGGGTCATTATCCATTTGCAATGTGAAGCACCATCTGATCAGTTTTGCAGCATTTGGCTGAATCTGAGCAGAGAGTATAGGCCTGTATACTTCAGAATTTATCCCGCTGCTTCTGTCAGCAGTCACATCATCAATAAACACTATTGGCCCGGCTCCACTGGCAGCCATATATGCCATATAATTGCCTCCTCCATGTTTGACAGATAATGTGGTATGCTCTGGATCATAAGTTATTCCTTGCTTCTACATACTTTTCACTTCCCATCATTCTGCTAGAAGTTAATCTTGTTTTTAATCCGTCCAAAGAATTATTTCACCACTGTGCGAGTTCTTTCCAGAGGTTTCTGGCCAAAACCAGCTCTTGAATGTAACCAGTAGTTGACACCTTGTTGTAAACCCTCTGTATTTCCATTCATGAAGGCAGTGACAAGTGCTGGCTATGAAACTGGTTGTCAATTAATTTTCCAATTAATGTTGAGCCTCTGAAAATGGAGGCACTGTGTATAAAAATGACTGTAATTTCTAAATAGTTAATGCAATACATTTGTAAAAACCCTTAAATTAAAGCTGTAAAGTTTGTACTTCAATTACATTGACTGTTTGATTTAAAATTGTACTCCACTGTAGTGGAATACAGTGGCAAAACTATAATGACTGTTCCAACAAATGATGGGCCTAACTGCACTTACATAAATACAGAAAACATGACAAACAGCTAACCATTGCCATTGCTCTTAAGCAATGCAAATGAAAAAAGCACATAGAGCTAATGATAAGTTAATAACTTTCATTGTGTGTATTAAGTATTAAGAGGTTCATATAACAAGTATGCTCTTAATGCTCTTTTAATACTCTTTCTTTGAATGCTCTCCCACTTGATCAAATCAGCGATGTTCCTCTGGGACCATGCAGCACTATCTCTACAATTTTCTGCATTTATGTGCACCATCTATTGTTATTCTTCTTGTACAGGGGAACATTTTGACTTGATCACATTTGTTTGTTATACAAATCATGTCTTGAATCTGGCTTGTCTGAATGTTGCATTTGATTTTAAATGCTTGCCCATTTTACTTTGCATTTTTCAGCCTGTCTGTGTTCTTTATTAAAGCATTATCCCATATAACTGTACTCTTTGAATTTGTTCAGATTCTGGAGGAGACTCAGTCGCTTCATGAGTAAAGTCAATCCAGAACCAAACCTGATCCACATAATGGGATGCTATGTCCTGGGTAACCCCAATGGCGAGAAGGTATTTAGATCACTACTACACAAACTCACAGGAAAATGAGTGCAGTAATTGTAGAAACAAATCAATATTATCCATGCTTTCCTCACTTCTAATTAGCAGGTTTACTCGTATAGGCTAGAATACTGTAGAAACGCCCAAATATTCATCTGATACTCAGTCACAGTTTTAATAATTTGTATTGGAATCCATCACAACAGCTCTTACAAATGTATCATTTAAATTGATGTGAATGCAAATGTAAATTACATTTATTTGAATATGTAAAATTTTACTATTGAGCGATAGCAATCTCCACTGACAATGCTGATTTTTAGAAGAACAGAGGATTGGAGACGCGATTGGAGGAAGTCCATCAGCTCTCCAGCAACATTAACTTTTATTGAACTTTGGTCAGGTGGTTTTCTTTATGATTTACAGACAGTAGATAGTAGATAAGAAAGTTGAATAAATTAATATTTCACATTGTTACTTATTGAGTGAATAGTCTTGCTAGTAGCAGGTAGTTAGTAGTCTTACTAGTCAGCTTAAAGTTTTACTGAAATAACGTGAAATTCTTGCTCCTTAAAGCACATGGGTTGTTAGCTTAGTAACTAATGTCTAATGTGATCAAACAGTTAGTTATACAAAAAGCACCTTAAAAAACATAACATTACTTAGTCACTAATATGAGAGGTCTAGTCCTTTTGTGTATTTAAATACATGCCAAGAGTATTGAAGGAGTCTGTGAAGATAAAGTGAAAGTTCTAGGAACTAGTTCAGCCCAATCACCACTTGTCGACATCAAGGATGTTGCAGAATTCCTTCTGGTATAAGATAAAAACTATGCAACAACGACACTCATCGCATGATTGCAACATCAGTAAAAATCGGCAAACAGCAAATATCGGACGATATATCAGTCAGCTCTGTTATATATAGCTATCAAGCTATTAATGGTATCAATATACGAATGATGTGATAATGCACAACGCTTCTGTTAGTGTGAATTTTGGTGAAAAGAAATGCGTAAGATGCAGTGCTCATCAGTAAATCCCAGGCACATCGTGTTAAAGTAGAACCGATCATAGTTATATATATAAATGAGTTCTATATATAAATAGCACTGATTTCATAACTTGGGATGGTTTGTTTCTTACCATTACAGTCACTCCTGCCCAATCTTGTCTCTTCTCCCTCTCTCTGTACTCATTTTCTGTTTGCCGCCCACTGCTTTCATATCTGCTCCTTGTGTCTGTTTATATGCCTCTTTGTCTGATCAGTGTGCAGCCCCGCTGGCTTTCTTGTTTTCTCCTCATCTCCTCTTCCACCTGTGCAGCTATTATCTCATTCTGAGTAATGTTAATGGATAGAGCTGAATAACACAAATGCTGAATGATACCGCACCCCTCTAGCTGATGTGAACAACTAAGACACAAAGCCAGCGATATACACACATATCTCCTCCTCCCTAATAAATAATCACATAAATAATTATTCACACACACACACACACACACACACACACACACACACACACACACACACAAATAGACACACACACATACACAAATACAAACATGATGGCATGCACAGATGCAGACACAGATATAAACTCTAACCAGCGGTGTTAGTCTGACCTAACTGTCTGTTCCAGTCATGTCTGCCAAAATGCTTAGTGGATCTCTCCAGTGTTGGACAGTCTGCACAGCGGTGAAATATACACCCTGAGAAACAAACAGACAAATATGAACATTGCTTTCACCAGTGTGTGAATTCAAAACAACACAAAGTCCTTTTTTCCAGGGGTTTGGTATAGTTTTGAGATCTGCATTTGCTTCCTGTCTCAGTGTTTCTCTGTTTAAACACTGCCAACATCAGTTGAACACTTTTATTCATTATGCTCTATGATGCTATGAGAGCCTCCAACCTAGCAGCATGGATTTGCTGACACAAAAACATTGATGAGGCTGGGCAGTGATGATGGTTGATGGGAAGGTGGTCAAGTTTTTCCACACAAAACTGTTCATATGTTTGGCGAATCAGAATTAACATCTCATTTACTGTTTTCTGTTCTGTAGCCACTGAACAGCACATCATCCATGCTGCCTGTTTATCCAAAGTTTTAATGGAATTATCTTGGCTCCCGTTTCAGTCCCTTTGTAAACAGCTACATATTTTCCTAGATGCTTCACTCCAGACTGCACAACGCAAACACTTAGAAAAAAACAGAAGTATTTGTAACACATAAATACACCGCATGGCTTCAGTTAGCCACAACACAGGATTTGCACGACAAAATCACATGATAAAGTGATAACACATCATAAAGTGGAAAAGAAATGCTTTTCTTGCCCTTTAAGTTTCTTGCCTGAATTTGGTCATGAAGGATCTCCCGTGTTAGAAAAAGAGAGATTCTCTTTTTCTGAAACAGACAGCAGCACATTGGTGCTATAAGGTAATTAAGGTGGCGACTAGTGATTGTTTTCTTGTTCAGTAATCCATCAGTTGTGATCAAAAATTCAAAAATCTCGTCTAAATTTAAAGCTGGGAATTGATGTTTCTGTCTTTCTGAGTGTGCATTTGTGTCTTTGGCCATATGAAGCTGAATTTATTGCAATCCTCCTGTTGTTTTTCTGTGTTTGTGAGCTTGTCAGGCGATGCAGACGACCCCTCTGCAAGTGTAGTCAAGTGAAATGCGATTAATTGGTGTTTGCTCTCTTATCTCAACCCAACAGCTGTTCCAGAAGCTGAAGAATCTGATGAGGCCTTATTCTGTTGAGTTCGAGTCACCGCTGGAGCTGTCTGCACAGGGTAGGTCCACACAAACATCCCAACGCACTCAAACGTGTGCTGTAGAGGGACTTGCGCACACACAGAAGTGTGCGATACGTCTGGTAAATATGAAATGATACGGACACGTGCCATCTGTCCTGCTTTAACAACTGCACAAGGAATTTACTCAAACAGCTGTTCCCTCATTTTAAAAATCTGATTTATTTTCACAGTCATCTCCTTTTTGTTTAATTTCTTCTTTAATAATCACTTGTGTTTTTATTTATAATCATCCTCTTCTGTTAGGGTGGCTTCTTGATGTTTTGGTGTTAAAGTGATGTTTAATGCAACTCATTTTTTTAGATTTCCTACTCCAAACTTTGCACAGCACCCAGTCCAGTGCTGTTACTGAGCACTTGGAGACCTGCACATCTCCTTTCTAGCCTCATGTGGGAGTACGGATGTACAGTATTCAGTATCACAATCAGTATTAAAAACAAACCTGTTCTCATCTCCAGGAACATTTAGAGCGTTTTACTTACACCCAGTTCCAGATTTCCTTTACATTTGTTCTAAAAAGGCATCAGCATCGGCATATACAAATGTAGAGTACCCTAAAGCAAAGACAAAGAAATGGTTCTACAGCAGAAATCAAAGTTGTGTCCTTGATTGCATTTTGATTATTAGCAAACTCTTAAACTCCAAGTTTTAATGTCTAAGAGCAGCAAATTCTTTTCAGATTGTTGTTTACCACAATTACTGATAGCAAGAAAATCAGCAACAAACAAAGGCTGAGATATAGATTCTCTTTATCTAAACAAATCAAAAACAATGAAAGCATCTGTCATTACACTTCTGCCTCCTTAAAGCCCACTGCTCTGAAAATCCACACCTCTCATTTATCAAACAGGATTTGCTTTTCTGGCTAAGGTTCATTTCTATAGTACCGGTAGTATAATGCTGTGTAGAAGTCGTGAGCTTTCCCTCATTTCCTCCTATTTTACTTCCAAGGAGCCAGACTTTCTTGTCATTTTTAAAGTGGCCCTGAGCAATAATTCTCGAGAGACATCTCTGGCTCTTCAGTTATTCCTACTATTTGCAAAAGCCTTATTAGAAGTGGCTTAATGGAAGTGAGACTGCCAAGAAGCCATACTTAAAGAAGGAGGAACAATCCACCTATTTCCTATTTTCCATCAAGAATATGAAAAAATAAGGAGGGGTATTTGCACAATACTGTTGATACACATCCACGCAATCATTGTTGGACTATCTTTGCAGAGGACTTTTGTTGTCTAAACATTTACCACTACAGCTCTAAAACCCAAACCTTATTCTATCCAGATGGACCCCATAAAGATACCGGGCACCCAGTTTTCTAACCCCAAAACAGATATCTTTCTTATAGTATGTTAAACTTCATGTCTTTGGTTTAATGATCCTATCCTATCTACTCAGGCAAAGAGATGATCGAGGCGTACTTTGACTTCCGCCTCTACCGCCTTTGGAAGACGAGGCAACACTCCAAGCTGTTGGACTATGAGGATTTTTTGTGACAAAGACATCTGGATCAATGGTGCAGCGGAGCCCTCCAGTGCCACGAGGAACCTGTTAAAACTGATCCAGCATTTGAACATTGCTCAGCTGTAGTGCTCGGCCCGCCGACTCGACACAAACAGTCATACCCGCATTCACCCTTGAGAGGCTGGGAGAAGAGGGAAGGCAATAGTAGACCAAGGGGCTGAAGATGAATTAAATTATGCTGTGCCTCCGCTCTTCCTCGTTTTCAAAAAGAAAGGTCACCGACTAACAGGGAAAAAAAGGCCAAATCAACATAAAAGGGGGGGGGGAGCGAGAGAGAGCTGGATTTGTTTGCATCATGGCAAACAAATCTGTCTGCCTCTTGAGTTTGAAAGCAAAATCCATATGTCAAATGTGTACAAAAGAAATACCATTAGAGTCACACTCCTCTGTTGCAAGGACTTCATTTTTGAAGCTGATGATGCACGTCAGAAAACTTCCTGAAATTCATTCTGTCATACTGTGGTTCTGTGTTTTGACTGGACCTCCCAAATAATCTCAGACCCCAGAGTAAAATACTAAATAAACCATACGTTGATGTGTGTATATATCACATTAATATATTAGCATAGCTTCAGTCATGCAAATTACTCTATTACAAGAGAAATGATGCATCATTTATTTTTGATGTGCATTGTTGTGCAATTTCATATGGAAATACTTTGGAATAACTCAGGTTTTAGCCATGAAGTAATTAACCTGTTTGTCTATCAAGATATTGTAATCTTCATCGCCATTGCTTGGAATGAATGTATTATCTCTCCAGAGATGCGTCTTTGGTTTGAGGAACTATTCTCATTGGGGGGGAAAGTACAATGTTCGAACATCGTGTGGGTGTTTTCCTTGTAAAACAAACAAAAAACAAAACAAAACGAAAAAACATGCAGATGTGTGTATTTTCTCTTACTGTTCATCCGGTAAAGGAAAAAATATCATTCCCTCAATTATCTTTCTGTCACATACATCCAAACACAAAGACAGTCTAGTATCCTTCATGATGTCAAGAGGGATGTAAGAGCCATGCAAGTGCTCCTACCGCTGTAGTGTAGGAGTTTTCCTATTGATCCTTCCTGCTCATTTGCAGAAGGTCCGGGCCACTTAGCGGGCCCTTGTCAACAGTGCTGGCTGCACTCGCTATCTGCCAAACACACTTGGCTTCTCTTAATGGCAGCCAACCAGGCTTCCGCTGCCTCTCGCTTCGCCGGGCTGTGATCCAGTCCAAGGACCGGAGCTTTCCCGAATTTGCCAGGAGTTTAAATTGTTAACATCTATTTGCTTCTCCTTCCAGGTGCCAGTGAGTTTCTAAGGCTGGCCCAAGTGACCTGAGCAGTCTCAAACAGATTAAGGAGGGTCAAAGCACTCACACAAAAATACAACACACACACACACACACACACACACACACACACACACACACACACACACACACACAAATGCTAGGGCTGGGACAGTAGTTTAAGAAACCATTAAATCAGGACTAAGTTAAAAAGCCATTTCACAGATACAGTACCACATCTGAAGGTCAGCTCGCTCGTAATGAGGAGGAGTGCTCCTGTGAAAATATTTTATAATGTCTTCTGTGGCTCAGGGGGAACATTTTTAGAAAGAAGCTTATATGAGAGAGCTTGCATTACAAACTGGTGGTGCTGTGTTTGAGGGCTGTGGGAGTTTGTATAGAGAGCAAAGCTGCATTAGGGGAAGTGTAGGATTCAGGGTGTTTGGGCATGAATGAAGATCAAACACATGTTTGAAGTAATCAGTTCAGAAGTCGTGGTCATTCCAAAGGTTGACAGACTTTAAAAATGTATTAAAAACAGCTGATTTAATCTCAGTCTGTTAAGTGCCCAAGTCCCTAAGATCTACGTTTCCCATAGCAGCTTTACATAATAAAAAGCAGCAACTCTTGCAAAGCACAAAAATCTCAATTCCCAATTTTTATTTTTATTTTTTGCCATTTAAAGCAGGTAGATTTTGCAAAAGGCTCAGAATATTGAGGTTTTGTGCTTCCTGAGTGCTGCATCAGAGGAAGCGATTGTTGCGAATGTGTTCACGATCTCGAAGGTGCTACACGATGTGCCGTCAAGTTCAGCTCCAGGACGGCGAGAATTCTAAGAAACAGTGGAACTTCAAGACTGGTTGCTGAGTGTAGGTGCAGAAAAATTGCAGTCAGCACGGTGAAACCCTTCAGCTTAGAGTGGTCAAGTGGTCCTAGCCCTGCGTAACACAGACACATGCAAATAAACACACGCTAGGCAAAGCTTTTCTACATCAGTGTGTGGTAAATACTTTTCCATTTGTCATTTATTTGCGTTAATATTTGAGCATTGTGAGCAGAACTATTTTTTTTTGTGTGTGTGTTAAACTCAACCAATCTCACTGGAGTGCTTTTTACAGGCTTAACATTGGTTTTTATTTGCATTTGCCCTCTCTGACTTCGAAATGCTGGCCTACAGTTTGTCTGGCACAGACAAGTGCTCTCTCAGCCTGAGTCACACAGTACATGTTTTCACTACAGATATAAAATTCCACACTTATGCAACCTGTCATTTTCCTGAGCCATTTTTAATTCCAGCAAAAGCATTACGCTGCCAAATTCTTGGAGAAGTTGTCCTAAACAGCTCTAGGGTTTAATGGAATATTATTTGATGGGTGAATTCAAAAACACCAAAGCAAAAAAGAAAAATATCACTATAATTTAAAATATTCTGAATTCACTGAACTCTGACTCAGGAGTTTGAGAGCACTTTCCTCTGCTTTCAAACAAATAAATAAATGAACAAAAACTAACATTTCACCAGAAATCTAATTAAAGATGCAAATGTGTCTACTTGTGATGCACTGTTTGCCTTTTTTGATAGATACTTCGGCAGAAAGATATTCGATAGTTATTTAAAGGCTCCTAAACCTAAAACAAACAATACAGCCATGTTTCTTGTGATGGTGTCTCACAAACACAATCCAGCATTTCATTCCCATTTATAATCCTTAAACTTCACAGTGTCAACGGCACTGGACTATCACATTTGCAGAAGACATTGTGATGAGTGAGAGCAGGGGGCGAATGGAAGAGAGCCTGGAGAGGTGGCGGTATGTTCTGGAAAGAAGAGGAATGAAAGTGTGAATGAGACATGGACAGCTGGACAGAAGGAGCAGAAGTAGTGCTCATGGACAAGTTTATATAACTGGGGTCAATCATCTAAAGCAATGGACAGTGCACGAGAGGTGAAAATTAGAGTGCAGGCATGGCGGAGGAGATGGAGATGAGTGTTGGGGGTGATTTATGACAGAGGGACAGTAAGAGTGAAAAGGAAGGTTTAAAAGATGACAGACTTGCAATGATGTATGTTTTGGAAATCATGGCTCTGAAAACAAAAGGAGGCTGGAGTTATCAGAGTTGAAGATGATCAGATTTTCAGGTTGGAAATGAGTGTGAATGAATGGTCAGGTTAGTTTTAGCGAGACAAAGGTTGAGAGGCAAGGCTCAGATTGTTTGACCATGTGCAGAGGAGGGATAGTGGATATACTGGCAACAGATGTTAAAGATAAAAATATCACAGAGGAGGTTCATGGATGGAGTGAAGGAAGACATGCAGAGCTGTTATTGTGACAGGGCGAGGATGCTAGGGATAGGCTGAGATGGAGACAGATGAGGGGATGCTGCGACGAACCCTGAGGGAAGTAGCTGAAAGAAGAAGATTAGAAGTTAACTTCATAGGAGATAAAGTAGGATTATGTGGGAAAAAGTCTCAGTGAAATGCCTCGAGACCAAGATTAATATACAACACTCAGCCCAAATGGAGTCACTTTTCTTTCTATGCTGTAGACTGATTAATGGAAAATCCAAGTATAATAGAGAAAAAAATGACATGCAGATGGGTTGTTACATGGGAGTGCCAGGAAATCTCCATTTGGAAATTCCTTGGCAAAAACAGAGCACTGACAGGTGATTAGATGAACCATCAGTCTATCACTGTATCATCGACTAACTTCCACCAATTAAATCAATGAACCAGAGTACTTAGAGGGAAGCAGGAGGAGTTTCCTGGCCTGAGAAAGCAAGCCACTGTCGAAGTACAAAATATATAAGGAACTAAAGGCTAACTGTAAAAGCAGTAGCTCTTGTCTTTGCACTTCAGACTACAAAAGAAGAATCCAACAGCAAAATCAAGGCATCAAAAGTGAAAACTAATTGGTGGCAAATGGGGAAAAGAAAACAAAAGTCAAAGTCTGAGTAGCTTTGAAAGTTAAAACTCAGGCAATCAAGTTTGCTGTCCAAAAGGTATGCCATAAAAAAAGCCCTGCTGTTCTAACTGTAGCCCCCAAACAAGCCTTGCTATCACTTCAGCGTCAGTGCCTGATTAGTATGTGCTTTGAAGTGGAAAAAGAAATTTTGTGACATACCGCAAAAGCTGAATTATTTTGCCTACACATTATCACAACACGCACAAAATTGCAGATAAGGTATTCCTCACTCTCAAAAAGAAGTTTTAAGGTAGTTTATCTCCCTGTTCCTGAAACACCTCGGGTCCCTAATCTTGCCTTTAACACAATCTGCCTTCTGTACACTGCTTTTCCACTTCTATCTCTCTTTTTCTTCGCACTCTTTGAGCTTGAGTGGAGCATTTGCATTGAGTTTGATATGCAAAACAGGGTTTGCAAACATCACAGACAACTAATACTCAACAACAACCTATGTAGCACCAGTCTAAAAGTCCACTTCTTTCCCAGGCCAGCACTGCCTTTCACATATTTCCCTTTTACCTTTAAGTTTCATGCAAAAATTACGGTCAGTTTATTCAAAAAAGCATAACGCAGATGTCTCATGATCATATACATTTGTATTGCCCCAAAGATAATGTAGCACAGTATTTTTGTGTTGTTGTAATCTTCAGACATGCACCTTTTAATATTGCAGCACAATTCTATAATTTATAGCACATTTTTCTTTGGACCACTTAGATATGGGTCGTGGAGCCCTAGGGAACCCCTGACATCACTTTGAGAAACAGTGTTTTATGGCACGATTCAAACAGTCCTTTAATCTTTCCAAGAGTTGCTCTGGCTGCAAGTTCAATTCAGTTGGTGTGCTGTTTCTCTTTTTGGAGCCAGAGATGCAGAGATTGCAGCCAGCCTCAATTTAGGAAACTAAAGAAAGTGAACAAAGAGGTTGGGAACAAACATCTCTCATGGAGAAGTAGGTCTCTTATGAATGCCTTTATTGTATTGAGTGTTTTGTTCGTTGGTGTTTTTCTCTTACCTCCAGCATGTTAACAATTAACAGAGTGCTACTCAGAGTAAAGCGAAGGCCCAGATTCTGTCTCATTCAGCACTTCTCATTTGCTGATATAGGCGTTTTAGGCTTCCTTATGTGCCCCCGTGGGGAGTGCAACACACCAACCAGTTCAAGACCTGCAAAAGCCTCTAAGCTGCATTTACACAGTTTGTCATACAGCAAGCATTATACTGTGCTGCAGCGAATTTGTGATCCATTTCAAAACTGCCCTTTGGATACTTATGCATTTATGTTTTGAAGTTCACGACTGCTTGTAGAACAGTTGAAGTTTCACATTTCTTTCTTCTTTTGATATCAACAGTAAAATGTTTTCTAATCATAGTATAAGCAGAAACGATTGATTCTTCTGTTGTTCTAGTTTAATATTTTGTATTTTTAATGTTAAATTGAGACTTTTAGCTAACATTGATCCGAGTGTAAACATCAACAAAATCAGAGATGAGCGTTTAAATAGAAACCTCCCTCATGAATGAATTTTCACCACCACCTCAGTCATGACAAACAACTTTCCAAAATAAAGTTTGTCTTTTCACGTGGGCAACTGCAATACAATTAAATTCACACAAGAGGTCAGTGTGACACTTTATTTCCCTAAATGTTTTAAAGCCTCCACTGGAGTTTAGATTCTGAAGGTGAGTTTACACGATAGTCAATGTCAGGTTTATGATCTGTAATGGAAACATAATTAAAAAAAGTCTCACAAGAACTGCAGGTTTGGGCATATATGAATTCTGAAATCAGAGTTATTCATTAATCATATGAATGATGCATCTGTAACTCTGTAAAAGATATCAAATTTTCACACTGGACATTTTCTAAATGGACGCTGGTCTCCAAGCATGGTTAAGTCCAGCAGCTAATTTTACCACTGTGAACAACTACAGAGGATTGTAAATCAGACTGAACAAAAGCATTCACTGTTGAGGAATTGTATCCATTTCTATACAAAGACTCCCAATTTTTAGAGGCTAACAAACATCGTTTTAAATATAAGTATAGTTGGTTACTTGGTTATAGTTGGTTAACGTATACTTGGTTGCTGATTGTTTGTGGGCTCGATCAGGTGACTGATTTGTCTGTTGAAAAATGTTCCATTTCCTTTGCCTTTAGACACTCTTTTGCAGTTTGCTTTGGGTCATTATCCATTCCACTGTCAGATCAGTTTTGCAGCAAGTGACTGAATCTGAGCAGAGAGTATAGCTCTGTACACTTCACAGTTCATCCTGTTACTTCTATCAACATTCACATCATCAATAAACACTAGTGGAAAACAATCCTTTCACATGCACTGACTCTAATCGGACCTCACATAAAGAGTTACCATAGACAGAAAGGGAAGTTCAATACTTGGAATCAACTGCAGGTCTTTTATCCTCTTAATTTGTCATGAAATATCAAGGCAGCTGGCTTCGCTAGGCCATTAATCTAATCTTTAATTTAATGCCTCAAATTAACGTTCACATCTTGATTTTTTGATCTGAAATATGCTTTGGTGGTGGTGTACAGAGAAAATCACTTATCAAAGTGACTTCTTCGTCTGTCATCTAGCATTACGGTCAATGAAAATGTTTTGTAAACTGTCTTGGACACTTTTAAACCGTAAATCCTGCATAGAATTCCTGAAGAAGTGCCATTTGATCATTTAGCATTTCTTGTTGACATGTTCTTTACGAGGTCAGATTTGTGTTGTTTTATCTTTAGTCTTTTTTTGACAAATAAAGCAGGACAAATTACTTTCAGGATTCACATGCAGATTTCCTATTAACTAAACCCCATTTTTGAAAAATAACCGTCCACGAGCGTGCTGAGCACATGAAATGTGTATACATGAATTGCTGAATTAAAGCACGACAGTGTTTAAGTGTTTGTAAGGATATGGTAGATGCAGAAATGTTGCTCCCGCTGTGCATTACACACATACAAAGAGCACAATGTGATATTACCGTAAGCCTCACAAGAATCACAGTATGTTCTGGTGCACAGCACAGACTAGTGGTCTACCTCCGCAACTGCATCAATAACTCAATCCACAACATCACAGAAAGGCAATTATACTTTATTCAAATTATGAACAAGGTACAGGTATGTAGAGAATATTTACTTTAAAGGTCCAATTTGATGTAAAGGACCTCTCATGCTATGACAATACAGTGGTATGTGTTCAGTAGTTAGCATGCATTTAGGAGGAAAAGAGCCCACCCCCCCAAAAGCTCTTAATAAAATTAATTACACTACAGAATGCAAAATTGTGTGAACAATAAAGGTTAATCACTTATCCTGACCATTCTGGCAACAATGGGCAGGTCTATTGAAACCAACTACAAGTTTAAATACTGTATAAAATATTTATCATACAGTTGTTTTTGTGACTTGCACCCCACATTCACACTCAAACAGTAGCTCACTTTACTCTTGTTGGTTATGGAAAATATTCACACCAAAGGAAATGCATCTGTCTTCTTATGTTCATGACAACAAATTAATCTGACAGTTAACAGCAACTTACAGTAGGTGCACTATGTTACAACTATGTG